TTTATTTCTTCAAGTGAGTAGTGTTTATATACGTTTACATATATGTAAAAAAGTAATATATGCATTTCAGAGTAGTAAACATTATGTTTAAGTTGTATCTCAATAAAAAAATAAATTCAAAAAAACTAGTCTGGGTCAGGAGTGGTGGCACACACCTGTAAGCCCAGCACTCAGGAGGCTGAGGCAGGAAGATTGCTGCTCTTCGAGGCCAGCCTGCACTACATAGTTAGTTCAAGAACAGCAAGTCAGGCTTCGGATGTGGACTCTCATTTATCAACATGTGACTCCATTATGGACTTTGGAAAATTTGAATAATGTCACTAAAACAAAATTAGTGTAACATATTTGTATTTTACACTGCCATCCAAATTCTTTGTAATTAGAGAGTAACAGCCTTTGTTTTATTCACTGAATGATGCTGTTGTTTGTTAGGAAAGTTATAAAACTTTTCATGTATTTAAGCAAAACAACCTGTGTCAAAGCTTAGACATTCCAACGGCTTCACATTTAAGTAATTCCACACTATCGAATCCTTTTTGTTTACACAAGAATGCCGGTGCATGTAGTGAGGATAAAATGACCTTTGAAATGGTCAGATCTAGAACAGACTCTATATGACCAACCACCAGCCACCAGACTTCTAATTGGACCGTGCCAGTTAGAAATTGTTTCACCTTCCTGGAGCTCTGTTCTCATCTGTAAAGTGGAGATGACACCTTCTTCAAGGGGTGTTGAAAGAGTTAGTTGGATAAAGTTTGTAAAAAGTCTTAGTAGATACTTCTTAAGTGAGAACTCCACAGTAGAGAATGGACACAAGACAGCTAGGGCCGGAGATTTGGCTCAGTGGTTCCGCTGTCTGCCTCACAAGCTCAAGGGCCTGAGTTTGATCCCCAGTGCAAAAAAAAAAAAAAAAATTTTAGCTAACTCGTCATTTTAAAAAGGTGATGACCATCCTCCAAAGTATCTCATCCTCAAAGATTTAAATCAAAGAAATGTAGGAAAGACCAAAATGTTTGTCTCAGCAGCATTGATGTCTGAGATCTATCCCTGATCCTCAGCAGGTGCTGTCCTTCTCCCAGCTTTTCCTCACCTTCTTACCCTCTCTGTCCACCCATTCCTGGAGCAGAACATTGCTCTGCTGTCTCCTCTGAACTTTCTGCTACCTGAATGCTGGGACCATACTACAGGACCTGTCTCATTACCTTCTGCCCCGAGAGCCTGCCTGAAACATTTTCCCAAAAAGGCAGGTCACCCAGAAGTAACACAATACCTTTCGAAATAAAATAGGACTCGATTATAATTTATGCAAAATAAACTCCCAGCCATGCGTATAAATGTCCATAGAAGACAAGCTGCAAAAGTAAATCTGACTGAAAAAATCTGCTACTCAGACATTGTTTTGTTCTCTCATGGCTTTTACCTCCAATGGAAAGCACCAAAAAGGAAAAATGTAATATTTGAGTATTTCCTTTGTGTCCCAGAACTTGGGAGGCTGAAGCAGGAAGATTGCAAGTTCTAGGCCAGCTGGGACTACATAGCTACACCTTGTCTTAAAGAAAAAAAATTCGCCTGGGCTTGGTGGTCCCTGCCTGTAATTCCACTACTCCAGGAGAATAGGCAGGAGCATCACAAGAACAAGCCCTGCCTGACAACCTGGTGTCACATCAAGACCTTTATTTTAGCAAATAAAAAATAAAAAGGGGTTTGGGTTGTAGCTCAGTGCGAAGTCCTTCGATTCAATCCCCAGTACTGAAAAACAATCTCTTCGTGAATTCAATTTCCTTTGAGTTTTTATTTCATGGGCCAAAATACTTTCTTTAGAGAGTGTATTTCTCGAAGGTAGAGGAATATTATTGTTCAGGACAAGACAGTCCTTCGCTGTGCCGTACTAGACCACAGATGAGGTGTTCAGTGTTACAGCGCTACTCAGTGAGGGGAATGAAGACGCCTTCAGGAACGCAGCATGGTTGACGACCAGTTACACTTTGGGATTACCCCCTGCACTCCCCCAACCCTGCAGAGGAATGAGGTCATTCTCAATGGAACAGGAGTCCAGAACATAAATGAAATTCAACTGCAAGGAAAAAAATTAAGTTTCTTGCATAAGAATTTGTGGATGGAGCTCGGCACTCATTAACTCCTGTGTAGTAGAATTTCGGTTTGAGGGTGGGGCTAATATGGACAAGTATGCAACTCCCACGAGAGCACCAGTCCAGTTGTACACACTGTAGGCTTGCGAGTTTGTTAATTCTTCCCATTAAAGGACGTGTTTGAGAAAGGCATCTTTTTCTGATTTGAGCAAAGATGCCATATGGATAGAATCATCTCTGGCAGGGATTTTGAGGACCTTAAGACCTATGCTCTACTAGATAAGTTACTTAACTGCTCTGTACCGTTTCCTCATCTTTCAAAAGGATATAAATAACATCTGATAGAAGATTGCTAAGATAGCTGGTTAATTTTTACTTTATTGGCTCATCTCATTCCTCTCTGAAGGTGAGTTTCAAGGTACATGTATAACTAATTGTACATTGTATACACCAGGTACAGGCCTCCTTAGACCACTGCAATGGTGCAACGGGCTGATGTTCTGATAGACATCCTTGTCCTTCTTATAAGTTTGCTCAAAATCACCTTCTCAGTAAGGTCCAAACTGTATTTTCTACTTATAATTTATATACCTGTGGGAGTGCAAGATTCTTAACTGTTTTCTTCATCATTGTCTAAGGGTGTAGATCAGTGTCAAATACAGGACAGCTACTTAAATATTTGCAAAATCAAATTGACTTTATTGGAATATATTTCCACTGCATTTTATACTTTTTAATTAGAATCAATTTAGTTTTGTCAGCATGATTTTGAGAAATAAATACTGGCTTTCATCTTGCATCTTTCCTTGCTACTAAATGAACTTTAACAATTTACTTAACTTCTCTCTGTATTCTTAGAAGCAACTACATAGGAATAAAAACCACCTCTATCCCATAAAACCATCGTGAGGATTCAGGGATGTAATGTACACAACACGGCTGCAGCCGTTCACTAAATATTACCTCTTACAGGCTAGGGTGCTCTTCCCTCAATCCTAGTCCTGTTTTGCATCTCGGTTGTTCCCTTGCTGGGGTTTCAAATTTAAAACTGATGCCAAGACCTCTTCATTTCCAACTTTTTTTTTAGCATTTGCTATTAGGTCCAAACTGCTTTCAGAAGTTCCATACTCCCTAATTTGTGCCTGGACTAAAGCTTTATGTTTCAACAATGTGATTCTGAGAAAGTTTCATTAAACAAAATGGGGGGGGGGAATCTTACAAGTTTCTTTATTTGGCCTTAAACCAGAACCATTTATCACTTATCTTACCCTATTACGTTTTAATGTGTTTTCAATGTGTGGTCTCCTTAATATCTTGTACATTTCCACCAGAAAATAATTTTAGGTCTTGTAAACAATTTTTTGTCTTGAAATTATTTTAGAACTTTACTAATACGTTTATGTTTTTGAGTTTCATTCTGAGGCCCAAGGAAAAGAAGATATTCCTTGGAAGGGGTTGTGTCATCTTACCCTTAGGCTGTGAGTCTGTCCAATTTCATGCCACCAGTTTTAAGGAAAGGAGGCTGCTGAGAACTTGGCTAAAGGGAGCGGGTAAAAGGTCCAAAGGATTAAATTCCCAGCTCCCAAAATAACTACTGAGTACTCCTGCCATCTCCAAATCAGGCCCTGCACACTCCTTCACACTGGCAGAGGGCCACGTCTGTGGACTGCACCCATGGTGCCCTCACACCCTGATGTGCCATGGATGTCCCTTCCTCTCAAGATGGACCCTTAGAGAGTGGTGGGTGCCCACGAGGTAGGGGTGGACATGCCAGGTACATTTTCTCCCTTCTCACACCCTTGTCACTCTTTTCCTTCTTTAATCTCGTTTCTTTTGTGGGGGGACAAGGTCTCACTATGTAGTTGAGACTGCTCTGGAACTCACTGTGTAGCCCAGGCTGGCCTCGAACCCACAGCGATCCTCCTGCCTCAGCCCCCCCGCCCGGTTTAATCTCTTATTTCTAATGTCTTCTCTGCCCGTCTTTAGGCTCCTGGAAGGCAACACATCAGTGCTTTCCAAAATTCAATAATCTGAGTACCACTGTCATAATATTCCCCCATCACCACTGCCTGCAGATCCCACGTGAACCATTTCTTTAAATTAGCTCACTTTTTCACTTTCATTTTAAAAGTTTAGTTATTAATATATAGCGCTGCTTTAAATTTTAATCCAATTTCCTTTCCATAAATAAACTCCCTTATCAATATAATGAGAGCAAAATATATAGTAATAGAATTTTAGTTGGATATGGCTGCTTGCTTCAGGCCTTGTGCCTAAATCGCATTTTCAATTAGGTAAAGGAGGTGTTAAAGATTTATTAGCCTCAGTGGGGCGGCACCTTTGAAGTAGACATAGAGGACCAAAAGAGAGTTTTTCTCATTTATCTTTTGATCCTGCGCTCATGTGTTGCTTAAGCGTTTCCCACTTTGGAAAACACTGCTTGGGGTTTTTGTACTGGCCAAAGCAAATATGTTTTGAAATCTAATAAGCTTCATTCTGTTTCCTTGAAGAACTGAGTTCGCTATTTTAAAACTGCACTCAAAAAATTTTGCACATTTTTCTCATTATTTGACCAGCTACTAGTGAAGTTGCAGATATAGAACTCATTCCTGTGGGTTACAGTATATGGTGATGAGACTTTGGTTGTCATCTAGTCCAAATACTGACACACCTCCATTTTTCTAAAAAGAGACCAGGGGATCAAAACGGAGGGCTATTTGTCCAAGGTCACAGACGGGGTGGTCTAATGTTCTGGTTCCTGCAGCCCAGACAGCAAACTCCATCACTCAGGAGGCTTGGTGAAAGGTTGCACCGCAGGACCGAGACCAAACTTCTCGCCTGCGGTGTGTTGATCCGTTGCCAGGGCAGCGGCGCACTGTTCCCCGCCTTCATTGGTGACGCCGAGGGGCCAGCGTCCAATAAGAAGGCCGTTCGCGTCCCGTGCAGCCTTTCCCTGCGGGCCTCGCCTTCGCGGCCGGTGGGAAGCGGAGTCGGAGGTGCTGGGAGGAGGCTCCGTCGCAGCCCCCGCGAGTTACACCGATTTCCACTCGTTCCGCGTCCGCCGCTGCCCGACTCAGAGCCAAAATGTTCAGGATGCTGAGCAGCAGCTTCGAAGATGATCCGTTCTTCTCGTGAGTGCTGGTGGTCGGAGTCCGCGGTAGCACAGAAATGAAGCAAACGTGAGGGGAGCTATTTTAAGGGAATAGAGCGAGTTCTAAATGGCGTGAGGGAGTTTGGAGGCCACCGGAGACCGGCCGAGAGCGGGACCGTGCTGGGAGAGGGAGGGGAGGGTCAGAGGGCCTCCTGGGAGGGTTTAGGTGTGCGGGATAAAGAGGAGGGGGTTCAGGGTCCTGAGGTGGAGAGAGCTGTCGCACACGCACACACGCACACCCCACGCACACGCACCGCCCGTTGCTCTCAGCCTCGCGCGTCTTCCAGCCTCGGGATCCTGCCTTCGCAACTGCGGGGACTTCGCAGGTGAACGTGGCTGCCAGCTCCGGGAAACTTCTGGTGGAGAATTAGGCTCGCGGGACCCTTTCTACATCCGTTTTCATTCCGAATCAGGGTGGGGGCCATCTTCTAGCACACGTTCTTAAAATGGGAAACGTTTTTCAAATCAGCATTTTTCATGAGTAGGGGATGTGATTGTGAGGGCGCAGCTGAGCGGTTAGAAGTTGCCATGTGCACTGTTTGTGTTCTTTGCTCGGTTTGCTAACAAAGGGGGCCTTCTTTGGAAAGACTCCTTCCCATCATGAGCTCTAAAAAGGCAAGGGAGCAGAAACAGGATACGTTTAATACCTCGGGTAAGTAAGTAAACCTGGCGAACTGGAAGTAATACCAGCCTATGAAGAAGGCAGACAGATACAATTTCACTATGATCTAGTTTTGTTTCAACCCTTCCTTTGGTCTTATACACGCGTAAAAACAATGTATTTGAATACTTACGACAAGAAGCTATGGATGCTTTTTTGCAGAAGTGTTCTGCCAGTTTGAATTTTAACTTCATTCTTGACTTATTTTGATTCCTTAAATTTTCTATGCAGCTTGGGGACCAGTTTGTTTTTTAAAGGTTAAAATGATTACAATTTTATGCCGGGAATTTAGCTCCGTGGTTCTGCCTGCCGCCTGCATCGCAAGTGCAAAGTCCCGAGTTCGATCTCTGCTACCGCAAAAAATAAAAAAATAATTTAAAAATGGTTACAGTTTACCGCACGTATTTTTAAAGAAAAACGTCTTACTGACTTAAATGGGTTTGTTATGACTAATTTAAAGCCAAGAACATAAAAGTGGTAATTGGAAAAGTAATGTATAGAAAAAAATACAGGAAAAAATAAAGTGATTAACATTTCCCTGAAGATTACGCATTGCAATTAAGGTGTATAGGGACTTAAGCAATGTTATTATTATATCACTTTCATTACTTGTTCAGGAGCTGTTGGAATCGTTATAGTTAGTGTCATTTAACAAGTTTGAAAGTTTATTAAATTTTATATTTGAATTTTCCCTTTTAAAAGCCTCTGACAGTAGAAGCTAAATATATTTACACAGATTAGCTGAGCTGTTGAAGTGGTTGTTATGTAAATGTGACATCAGTATAATGGGTAACACTTAACATTATGATATATAATTTTTGAGTTCTTATTCCTAATTACAGCAAAAGGAGCAATAGCCTTAATTAAACTATAGATATGTATCTTCTTTAAAACCTCTAGCAAAGGTGTAATTTAAACTGTTGAGTGGCTCTGGGTAAAGGTAATGAATCTAAGAGTCAGGGACAGAAATAGTAACAAACCACAAATAGTAGGCATACATCCAAGAACACCATTCCTCTGTGCTTATGGTGGAAAAGACCATCAGGTACACTTCAGTAAGTCTTTCATTTTTTACAGCTTTCTTCAGTGTAAGCAGCCATGTCATGAAAATATAAGATAAAATTATTGTGATTAACTCTATAAAACTGATTGATTCTTACGATTTTTCTCTACAACTTACATAGAGTGAACACACTGGGTATAAGAAAGAGAATGTGAGTCTAGATTTGTTCCACATAAGGAATTCATAATAGTGACTCATTTATTAAATCACTGACCATACTTAAGAACACTGAAGGGATGAGCCAGGGATTTAGCTCAGTGGTTCCACTGCCTGCCTCACAAGCACAAGGACCTGAGTTCGATCCCCAGTACCAAAAAAAAAAAAAACAAAACAAAACAAAAAAAAACTGAAGGGAAGTTAAACATATAGACCATGCTCCATATTTTTATGTAAATGTTTCTGTTGCTAGCATTGTACCTGCCTATTAGGTTCCCCACTGGAAAGTTTAATGTAAAAAATATTAGGTAAATATTGTTCAATGGTGGCTTCTTGTCCTTCATACTATGTCTTATAGTTAATTTGCAGTATTTAGTTAAGTGCTGAAAGTAATTATTATTTGCATTCAGCAAATATCTTTTTTTTTTGGTACCAGGGATGGAATTTAGGTCCTTGCACTTGTGAGGCACACAATGGAACCACTAAGCTAAATCCCAAGCCCAACAAATACCATTTTTTATATTGGCATTTTCTATTTAGAATACAATCCATTAATTCACAATCATGAATAGTCAATTTTAGCATGTTCTACTAATTTATTAATTATTCAAAAGTAGGCATAAAAATATACTTCTTGCTGAAAAATTAGAGATACTAACTAGTTTGGGACTAATAAGAGACTTAGTCAAATTGTTAAATGCTTAAAAGATTTGAGCTAAAAAATAAAATCTGTACATTTGAATTCAAATGTATTCAATTCCAATGTTTACCTTCTTAATATGTCTTAAATGTTGCACAGAAAATTAAAGGAAAACTTTACAAGTAATATTTTTAAATTTGGTGTTTTATGGTATATTTCAGATTTTTTAAATGTTTATGTTTCAGAGTTGAATTTATTGCAATGAAAATTTCTCTTACAATATATTCAGATATCCTTTCTTAAATAATATTGTAACTTGGTTAAAAATACAAAAGTAAAAGGCTGGCACTTATTGCCATGCAATTTTCTTTCAAGAATAATACTTTTAAGTGAAAGATCAATCCTCAGTACCAAAAAAAATACTACTTTTCTCTCAACTTTGTATTTAATCCCCCCCCCACCATGTGTGTGTGTGTGTGTGTGTGTGTGTGTGTGTGTGTGTGGTAGGTATGTTTAGGCAGGAAGTTAATTTGAGGTTAAAATTATTTTGGCATGCACTATACCCTAAAGAACAATGATTAGATATATCTAGTGTGATCCAGAATTTTCTACCTGGTGCATAAATGTGAATTCGCATCTTCTGAGCTACAGAAATGAAATTCCGATTAGGCAAGTCTACAAAGAATGGCTGTTAAATTTAAAAGCTGGCAAATTCTATCAGACTTTTTTTTTTTTCCTAGATAGGGTCTCAGTAATCCAGGCTGGGCTTGAACTCCATGTAACCCAAGGTGCCCTCAAACTCACAATTCACCTGTCACAGCCCTCCAAGTGCTGGGATTATAGGCATGCGCACCTGGCTATCAGCTTTGTTTTTAATTACTGTATTTTCCTTAAGCTACACAACTCTTCATATGAGCATTATATGCGTGATGACTAGTCTTTGATCAAAGTAACTCTGGAAATAGTCATACGATATTACTTTTTCTTCTTGCTCTCAGCAGTATCTAAAACTTACATATCCATAATCTATTTTAAAATTTTTTGCAAATTATTATTTTGTGTCTCAGGGGTAGTTGTGTTTATTAATGAATGCTACTATTGTCAACTAACTAGTTTGATAGTTAATATATTTCATATACATTGACTGTTTTCTTGATTTAGACCATTCTTATCTCAGGTAATAAAATAACTATTGGATACGTTTTCATAAACAATTGTCAAGGCTACTTATATATTTATTTCAGAAATGTATTCTGATGTAGAACCTTCACCAAGATGTTATAGTCAGGTTCTGATTGGTATTCTGCCACATACACTTCACATTCTTCTTACTAAAGGTAACTTGAGAACGCTCAGCTAGATTCTAGGGTTTTGATTTTTAGGATCCAACATTAACTTTATTTATTTTTTTAATTTAATTTTTTTTTTTTTTTTGGATACCTGGGATTGAACTCAGGTCCTTGCGCTTGCAAGGCAGGCCACCAAACTGCTGAGCTAAATCCCCGGCCCCAACATTAACTTTATGTTAAGACTTACAATAGCTACTGTGATTTTTAGCACCTACTCTAATTTTCTCAGACATATTTTAATATATAAATTCCGTATGAGTGAATTTTGTGAATTTCAAAATAATATTTGATAGAATGAGGCTCTAATTTGGGGCATTATTTGGTGTATTAGATAAAAACCATTGAGGTAGGAACAAAGGGCCATAATATGTTAATTGTTTTGTCAAGGAATGCCATTTGTAGCATCTACCCAGGTTATAATGCCTGCTTTTATCAAAGAACATTGTAAATATCTCTGTAAAAGGAGAGGGTTACTGTACTTACATGCTGTAAGAAGACACAGTCATTCCAACAAATTTCTTAGTAGTAAGGGCTTTGGCCACACCAACATTTTAGATTGTGCTTCTAGATACTGAAAATTAGTATTACCTTATGGGAATTTAGTTCATTCAAACACTTCTTAGGTTCCAGCTATACATTTTCCCATCACTGGATTCTATTATAAATTCATAGGTGTCATGACATTTGCTCTCAGGACCATTTTTTAATTTTATGTATATTATTTCTAGTATCAAAACTTGGATTATATATGCCCTCAAACTCGTAATTGCCTGTCACAGTGCCCCAAGTGCTGGGATTATAGGCATGCACACCTTCTCTTTAAGGAGAAGTCCACCTCATTGAAACTAGGGAACTTTTTTATGATCGAGAGAGCTATAACAATCTTTTTGTTAAGCTTTTACACTATTATGTATAATGGAAAGGAGAGATTTTCCTTAGTGAATGGAGCGGTTGTGTCAATGATCTTTATCCTTGTAATGAAGAATAAAAATGCTTTTTACTTAGAAGTACAAATATATATATATTTTTATACAGACCAAAGAATTTTATAACTTGGGCAAAATGTGTATATGTATTGTTCTTGAAAAAGTCTTAAAAACAGAACTCAATT